CTCTGGAAACTACTCAGAAATGTTAGCTTACGTCTAAAGTATCTAATGTGTCTCTAAGACAATAAAATTTCAAAAAGTAACCCTAGCCCTAACCCTGCTTTAAAACTTCATTTCTTTAACATTTTWACATTCCATTATTACTTAGCCTTGAATTCTGGAAACACTAAGACATAAAGGMTATCAGACTTAATGTAATTATTCACAGAAGGGGGTCTACTGTTTGGGGAAATGGTCTGAATTTTCAGTTATATATACACCAAGTTACTGCTTTTCCTGCAAATAGTACTTCTGTGTTTGGTTCTATCTAGAAAACACCACAAGCCTGAAGCAGCACACATTTCAAATGCATCCAAAATACACAACTTCAGTTGCTCCACCCCAATGCATGTATAAGCAATCACACTCCCTGAGCAACCACAGCTTTTGTGAAGTTACACAACTAAAGCCTGACCCAACTCTCAACTGAAATTAATAGCAGAACTCCCCTATTGCTTTGGTACAACTAGATCCAATCTAGTGCACACAAGAGCAGAGGATCTGCCTGGACTTCATGAAAGGAGTAACTGCAGTRCTGACACCCAACACTGCTGGCCTCAAATCCACACTGCTATCAGTAGGCTTCCCACTTCTATCAGATCTTTTCAAAGAAAAATACATGAGCGGGAAAACCCAACATAAACTCTCCAAGTAGAGATGAAGCTGTGAACAAAAGCTGAAGATAGTTGAGATACTGATATAGGGTCTAGTATTATCAATATTTAYACAGAAAACAGGAAATATTTAATTATTATAAATATTTGTACAATAAACACCAAAGCAAGGACCATCATCATCAAGAAGGGCAAAGACAACGCAAAAGAAGTTGAGAGAAAGAGCAACTAACCATGTAACATGCTAAGTGGAACAATCTCTTATGAGAAAAGAACTACTGAATACAACAGAGAATAAGAAAGCAACATCAGAACATCAGAAGGAAATTAAATCAGTAGGAAGCTTCAAAATCATTCTCATAAGAAAAGGCATCAGAGCTACACTTTGCTTTACAGAGACAGCTGGAGGGGAGCAGGGGAAGTCAAATAAGAAAAAAATACCCCAAAAAAAGAGCTAAAAAATAGTCTCAAAAGAGATGGTTCCACTTCCAGTTACATTGAAAGAAAATAAACCACCAACAAGAAATGCTGCACAAGAGCACTCAAGAGGCAAGGCTCAGAGCTGCTTAAGGGCTGAGAGGAAGTGGAGAAGCTGGACAGAGACTGAGGATGGTGCACAGATTCTACCCAATCCCACTGCCAAACAACTGCAGACCCTTCCTACTCTCTGCTGTCTGGGGCACAGTCCCAGGCCACAACTCAGCACTTCAGATAAGGTTCCCATTCCTGCACAACTGCCCTCGAAAGACACAGAGACTCGCTGAGCTCCCAATCAGTACAAACATTAACCTCAACAACTGCAAAAAAGAAAATAAATATTACCCCATTGTCAGAAGCTAAAACATGTAGCAAGAAGAATTAGCACAACTATATAGTTGATCAGCATGACAGATGCAAGCCAAAATTCCAGATTTTCTGGCTTCTGTTTCAATACTTCAATCGCCACTGGCCTACCTTACCTTTGTATTTATCACCTGCTTCTAATTTCCTCACTATTTTAATCTATGAGGTAATCCGGCTATTTTACTTCCTGTACACGGTCCTGCAGAGTTAAATTTTAAATAACTACTTTGTTATATAGTTATAACATATAACTATAGTATAGTTAACATATAACTATATAACATATAACATATAACTATAGTAGTAGCTATAAATAGCTACTACTTTGTCACCAAAAAACCCCACACGGTCCTTTGCCCTAACCAATGCCAGATGAAAGATAAGATGCCACATTTTCACATTCATATATATAAATGGTACAACAAGCCACATAACTTCAGCCATGCCCTAGGAAGTTCTAATCTTTGATTTTATCTGTAGCATTTCTGCCAAACAGCAGGTACAGATTGCACTAATACCTATGATATCAGCAGATTCACTTGTACTCAAATGACTGTAGCTCTGTTTTTTGAGTTACAGCCTCACCATATATTTATTCACGACCCCCAAAACTCGCCTCCAGTGAAGTAATGCTGTTAAAAAGGCAGAGAAGACCCTTTTCCCCAGACAGCAGCTGACTATCATCTAGAACAAATTAGGATCACCTGCATTCAGAAGAGCTTGCTTTGTCATTACAAAATACAAAGCAATCATTCCCCAAAGTTATACACTGCCAACTCACAAATACAAATATTCACACTGGAGAGGCACAAGCAGCTTTACTGAGTGCCATCAGCTTTAGCGGCAGTTCAGATTTCTGTGAACCCTCACACTTGGAAAGTTGACATTCCAAAACTGAACTGCACTAAGCAGGGTGGGCTCTGTGTGCCTGAGAACAACCAACTATCCAAAACCTTCTATCCATAACCTGACACCCTCACTAACCCCATAGTACAGTGATGACTGCAAAATGCTGGACACAAAAGAGCTACCAAGAATCAGAACATTTTTGTATCCCTTAATCTCTCACAGGACACTACAAAGGCACTACAGGATCCCTCCATCTCCACCAAGCCACCTTCAGGGAAACAGAGCAGCTGTCACAGGAACAGAAAACAAAAGCAAAATGAAAAAAAAATGGAAGGTTTTTTTATCATAAAAGGAGGAAATCTGGAAGTTATCTTACACACTGGAAACACAAAAGCTTCCACAAAACAATTACCCAAGACTTACTTCTCCCTTCTCAAGAAACGAATTTAAATACCTTTKCCCTCCTTCTTCCAGCACAGAAGAATGGAAGAGTTCACACCAAACTCCTCAGGAAAAAAAAACCCAACACAAAATCTCCTGCCTTCACCGAGCTCTCAAGTACCCAATAAGTTTACCAATCCCGTGCCAAACATCAGAGTGCATACGAGTAAACAAAGGAAAGAATTTGGCAACAGAATGCAATATGCAAACAAACAAATGAAAAAATACCAAGTGTAGTTTAGAGAATTAGTAGCAGAGAAACGGGTACAAAAAGCCGTTGTGCTCTACCACACGAGTGAAACAGAAAAAAAGGAAAAACAAAACAGCAGGAATTGCTCTATTTTACATGCAGGATGCTAGGAGCATCCCTAAAGGATACCCCTGCATATACAGGGCTAAATACACATATATTTTATTCTCTTTAAGCCACWATGGACCAAACACCTTTGAGCCAGACGTGTGGATGTGTCACCTTTCCAAATGGATTCTGTGCTATCCCATTAACCTTTCAAACATCAGAAACTGAATTTTGTCACTCAGCATTTTCACACATCACTTACAACATAATAAAACACACACCTGTTCCACCTCCTAACTTAAAAAACAATGTCTGCTATAAAACAGAATTACAATTTCTCTTATAATTCGTGCGAGAAAGGAACTCAACCAGCCTTGAAAAAGTGATTCGAAGGCGCCCTTACAGCCAGGCCGCCARCAGCTCACTGCAAATGCCTTTAGACAGACCAAATAGTTCCTGCTCGCATTAAAACCCCTGATCGGGAAGGACTGCAGCCGCTGTAACGCTCCGAGCGCCGGTGCAGGCCAGGCAAGAACAGACCGAGGGAAGGACGGGCACGGGTCCCGGCTGCTCCCAAGAGGCCACCGGGCCACAGCACGGGTCAGCTCCTGCGGGACGCGCTCCCGCTTCAGCCGTCCCCGAGCCCCGGCCACGGGGCCCGAGCACAACTCACACCGCCGTCTCCCCGGCAGGGCACGGCCAGGGCGGGCACGGGCCGCTCCCAGCACCCGGGCAGGCGGGCGCAGGACCGAGTTCACAGCGGGCCGGACCGCCCGGCGGAGGCAGCGGCGGCGAGAGGGCACCGGGCGGCCTCGCGGACAGAGCGGCCGAGGCCTAGCCACGGAGCTCGGGCCAGACAGAGGCACCCAGAGTCGCGGCGCTCCAGGCAGCAGCTCCTGGAGCTCAGGGCAGCCCCGAGCCGGTCCCACTCACCGGGCCGGTCCCTGCAGCGGCGGCGGCGGACACAGCCGGGCATTCAAAATGGCGGCGGCGCGGCCGCAGCACCGATACCGCAGGCGGAGGGATCCGCACGCCGGCTCGGTCCCCGYCACCCCGCGGCTCCCCCGACCGCGGGAGGGAGCGCGGTCGCGCCGAGCTTGGCGGGAGCGGGGCGGGGATGGCGAGAGGGCGGTGCCGCACCGCCGACAGCAGGACGGCAAAGACAGCCGCTCGCACTACTTTTCTTGGCGGAAGCACCCACGAGCTTGAGCTTACGAGGTGAGATGCGTATGCACCGTGGCAGTCCCTGATGACGTCAAACGCAAGGCGGTCCCGGCGGCGCGCGCTCCCCACGGCAAGCCCGGGCGGAACCCACTGCCCGTGTCCGCAGTTCCGGGGTTGGGCGGTTCCGGGACCCAAGCGGTCAAGCCGGCGAATATCGCGCTGTTTAAATGTCCACCGGCGCTGAGGAGAGCACAGTGAGCAGCACTAAACGAGGCGTCTCTAGAGGAGAATACAGAGCCGCCCCGGGCAGCTCTTCTGTCCCCACTCGTAGGACCTTTTGTCCCGTTAACGATCACCGGATGACGAGGAAGTGCCCCCGGCGGAGGCCAGTCAGCACCGCGGGGCTGCCGCACACTGTGCGGGTGCGAGGCACGGAACAGGCGCCTTCAGACCGAAGGCCGGGAGCCAGGAGGAGCCGAGCCGCGCTGCCGCGGAGCCCGTGCTCCCGGGCACCCGCTGGGAGAGACCCCGGGCAGCGAGCGAGCACCAGAAGCCGCGCGGGCAGGCCCCGGACACGTCCCGCCCCGGGTAGGGCCGCACCGGGCCCCGCGCCGACGCAGCCGGTTACCACGGCAACGGCCCCGTGAGGCGGCCCGGGCGCGGCGGAGCKGCGAGCCCGCCCAGCGGTGAGCGGTTCCGGCGGGCGGGACCGTGCCATGGCCACCGGGCGCGTCATCGCCGTGCGCCGCGGGCGGGGAGGAGCCGGGCCGGGCACCGGGCGGGCCCGCGGGGCCGGGCCGGGCCATGGCGGGTGAGCCGCGGGCACCGGCTGGGCTTACGGGACGCGGCGGGGCAGGGCGCAGCGCGGCCGTGGCGCTGGGGCTGGGGGTGGCGACCGGGCTCGGGCATCGTCCGTCCTCGGGGTCCCGACCCTGGGCCAGGGGCCGCCGCCGTGCCGGTTCCCGGAGCCGGKGCTCGGGACGTGCCCCGTTCTCAAGGCCGGGACTGACGGTTCCCTCTTTTCCTGGCGCAGGTGAGGCGGCGGCCGGCGGCGCGTGGCAGCCCCAGCGGGTGCCCCCATGAAGCAGCGACGCGGCCGGGGCTGCCGGGAACCCGCGGGGCGCCATGAGAGCGGGCCACGAGCGGAGCCAGGAGTGTCTCCCCCCAAAGAAGCGGGACCTCGCCAGCGCCAGCACTGGCACCGAGCCGGGACGGACGGGGRCAGCCCCGGGCTCGGCCGAGGGCCCCGAGTGGGCCCGCACAGCCGGGCCGGCTCCCGCCGCACCGCGCTACAGCCCCGGCGAGGCCCCCGAGGCAGCGGCGGGGCTGACGGTGGACCAGTACGGGATGCTCTACAAAGTGGCGGCACCGCCTGCCACCTTCTCCCCCACGGGCCTGCACCCCGTGGTGAACGTGAGCCCCCTGCCCCCCACTTTCAACGTGACCTCGCCCATCATCCAGCACCCGGGGGTGCCCTTTCCCCCCATCCACTATGCACAGATCCCTTCGGCCTCCGTGCAGCTCATCGGTTCCCACTACACAGTGCCCTTTGCCATCCCTCCTGCCTTCCTGCCTAGTCCTCTCCTGTCTCCTTCCACCAACCTCACCGCCCCCCATGTCCCCCACTTTGTGCCATATGCCTCCCTGTTCACGGAAGAAGCTGCTCCTTCCCCCCAGACTACCTCTCCCACCCACAGCTTCAACAAATCTGCCTCTGCAGCCTCTCCTGGGCAGATGCAGCACCACGCTGTGCCCCAGCCACCGGACATGGCAGCRGGGAGAATTCCTGTTTATTATCAGCTGTCCCGCCTCCCACCGGGGTACTCAGCCTATGAGGCACCTGTAGCAGGCGGAAGCTCAGAGTCTCCTCAGCAAGACAGCCAGCTGAGCTCAGAGGTGGCTGCAGCCAATGGTGGGCAAAGGCCCCTGGAGCAAAGTGTGGCCAGGAGGTGCAGCAAGGCCGTGGACTCTGCCAGCAGTGCAGCTGAGGACTGTCTGCCCTCAGGGGCTGCAGCAGGATGTGTGGGCGATGGACAGTTCCTTCCAAGTTACCAGATGCTGGGAAGAGAGATCTCTGTGCCTGCTCACAGGAGCACTCCCGATGCTGATCTGGAGGTTCAGAGGGTGGTGGGGGTGYTGGCATCTCAGGATTATCATGTTCTGGCAGCCCAGAGGAAGGATGACCCGAGCCCTTTGAACCTTTGCCATAATGTCCCTGATGGGCAAGGAGACATGCTGAGGAACACCACAGACAGGGCTGCAGCTGAGAACAGCCCGTCCTGGAGCCCATGTGGAATGTCCCCCGAAGAGACTGTTAGACAGAAACAGTTAACCAAAGGAATGGTAATAGCCAATGGCAAACCAGTCCTTGTTCCTGTTGGATCTGAGCCTGTCAGGTCTTCCATTTCAGAAGCCTTGGTGAGGGAGAGCCCAGATGCACAGGCTCGAGGAAATGTGCTTGAAAAGGAGCTGGCCCAGTTGCAGCCACCCAGCTCCTCACAACTGCCCTCTCACTTCATGAAAGGAGCCATCATCCAGCTGGCAACAGGAGAGCTGAAGCGGGTGGAGGACCTGCAGACTCAAGACTTTGTTCGCAGTGCAGAGGTGAGCGGAGGCCTGAAGATCGACTCCAGCACTGTGGTGGATATTCAGGAAAGCCAGTGGCCTGGGCTTGTTACACTGCATTTTGTGGTTGGGGAGCAACAAAGTAAAGTGAGCATTGATGTGCCCCCGGAGCATCCCTTCTTTGTGTATGGCCAGGGCTGGTCCTCCTGCAGCCCAGGGAGGACTGCTCAGCTGTTTGCTTTGCCCTGTCACAGGCTGCAAGTGGGGGATGTCTGCATATCAATCAGTTTACAGAGCATGAATGGCAACTCTGCTTCTCAGGCCAACTCCCCTCTCACAGATCAACTGGTATCTGCTAGGGAGAGATTGGAACAAACAGCTCAGGGGCCCAGAGAGCCATCTGACAGAGCTGCTGAAAGGAAGAGCCACACAGATAGAGCCAGCGTGGCCCAGAGCTCTCGTGCAGAATCCTCCCAGCCTGAGGCTCGCAATCTGTACAGTTTGGCCCCTGGCTTCCAAAGATACAGCATGCAGGCAGAGGAGCCTCGGCCCTCTCTGCTCCGTCCCTCTTTCATCCCCCAGGAGGTCAAGCTGTCTATTGAAGGGCGTTCAAATGCAGGGAAATGATGCCTTGGAGGTGTGAGCTAGGGCAGCCCCAGCAGGTGAGCCGTACCATCAGGTGGAGGAATTGCACAGACTCTGTCAYAGGCTCACCAGCAAAGGCTGCTCTCTGCCTTGCAGCAATGGCTCCATTCTAGTTCCATGACTGACCMGTTCCTCTTGGGGAGTCAGGAGGGCTCCAGTGCCTCAGGGAGCAATGACAGGCTAGCTGGAGTGTGTGATGGGAGCATTCTGGAGGCTGCGGCTTTCTCCCACTTCCTGGGATAACTGATCCCCTGCAGGGCAGGGGCTGAGCATTCGGGGCAGGTGGGGAGWTGAGGAGGGCAGACACGGCTTAAGGTAGCATATAAAATTGCTGAAGATTTTATTCTTTTTTTCTTGTGATGGGGAGAGACGGCTCCCCACTGGAGTTTGGGGGCTCTACTCCCAGTATCCCCTTTCTTCACACATGCACTTTAAAAGGACCGTTCACCAATGGAGCTCTCAAGGGCAGGATGAAGGTGCTTCTCTGGTGGTTCTGATTAATGTCTCTTTTCACTGAATCCAACTGCTCTTTCTTCTTGCAAAGAATGTACAGATTTGAATGAATTATGGAAATTCAAGAGGAGGGACCAAAAGGATGGGTTTGGGTGAAGGTGAATAGGGAACTTGAGCACTTGGGATGGGACACAAATTGGGATTGGAGTTTCCTGCTGTAAAGTACATTTAGTTGTTGACCACCAAATCAATTTTTTCTTCCCATGTTAATATTTTTTTAAAAAAACCTTCCTGGGCTTATAGCTTTTGTTGCAGAGGCTTAACCTAAGATGAACTCGATTGGTTTTTTTTTTTTTGTTGTTTTTTTGGTTTTTTTTTTCTTTGGTTGAATTTTGGGTATTTTATTGATTTAGGTTTTTTGTTTTTTAAATCTGGAGCAAAATACATATAACATTCTCTAGGGAAGGATGAAAACATCCTTCTTCTGTGAGAAGGCCAAGGCTATTTTGTAATTAAGTCAGAAAAATGTTTCAGATAGCTAATCCTTCCCTGCAGGCAGTTTCCTGTATGAGCTCTAGACAAGAAACAAGTGTTTGTGCATGTGCAGGCGAGGTACAAAGTTTGTGCTAAGTACACTTCTGTGATTAACGGAGGAACTCTTAAAAATATCACAGTGTCACAAGGTATTTTGAGGTGGTTTTGTGTTAGCTTTTCTGATGCTTCACTTTGGAGTTCCTCTGTAGAACAATGTGATAAAATCAAGAGTAGTCTTTTTCATGGTGAGATTTAATACAATTGTGTATGAATACCTCATTGTGGTGATAACACTCTRTTGAGTGAATGCTCCTGTAGTTACACTTACCTGCCCTTTCTGATGGTGTGTTATGACACCAGCTCCAAMTGCTCAGCTAGGATAAAGAATAGTCACTGTTCCAGTGAGAAAACAATTTTCACTGACTTAACCTGGGTTAAGTATTCTTTGTGTTCAGGTGCTCATCTCTGTGCTAGGACCAGACTCTGGAGARGGCTTTTCTTAGTGTGCAGTCATGATATTCAGCATATTGTTTGTGTCTCCCTGATCTCATCTTCCTGAAGTTTGTCAGATGTGTCCGGCTCTTGAAGCAGCACTCCTCTCTGTCCCAAAATGGTGTGTCAGCACCTCTTCTTGCAGCGGTGCTGTCTCAGGGCTGTTCTGTGCTCCCCAGGAGTGTGTCCTGGAACTGGCTGGCTTCTGCTGAGTGTGTGACAGACACTTGCTCTGCCTGCCTATTAGGCAAGGTAGTCTCCAGAATGTCCCTTCCATCCTGGCCTCAGTCCTGTTTTCCTAGCACATTGCTAGCCATTTTGTTGCCTTTAAAATGCCTGCACCAGGCCAGGCCTTAGGTAGGATATGAGGTAATCATGCCTTCAGTGTTTGTGCCTCACGGTGTTCTCCAGAATGAGGATTGCTGCCTGTATCACATGTAGCTGCTCCCTAATGACACACTATTTCTGCTTTCATCAGCTGCATTTGAAGCCACGATGATGCTGCTGTGTGAAGATTCTGCCTCCTCAGGTTCAGCAGCTGTGGGAACAGATGCCCTTTTCACAGCCCCATTTGTCWGTGAGGTGTCCACCTTTGGGCCCCTTTGTCACCTGCGTGCGTCACAGCTCCTGTTGACTGGACTGTCCTATGGAAACCTCTCGATTGTTGGTGGTAATCAGTACTTAATGCTCAGGATATTTGAGGTGTCTGTGGCCAAAGACAGGAGGCAGAGGAGCCCAAGTTCTTGAGCCTGTTATTTGCATGGTGCACGCAGAGAGATTCAGGGCTGTGACAGGCACTGGAGGAAGAGATCTGGTATAAATACGGCATGTGAATGTAGAGGCTGGTTACACCGTAGAGGCAATGTCTGAGCAACTGAGGGTGCAGAGCCCCTCCAGTGTTTCTGAACACAAGAGTCTGTCTTAGAGTGAGGGTTTGGAGAGCTTGCTTTATTCCATGTGTGATACTGTAACTCTTCCATCTCGGCCACACTTCACAGTGTTCTGAACGAGCTGTACTAAAAAATGAGGCAAGATGCTGTGTGGCTTAAATAGCTTTGTACTATAGGCAGCTGAAGGGCTGTGAAGGTGCTTGCCCTGTTGTTTAACTGGCTGCTGTCCTGGACTTTGGCCAGCTGCCCCTCTGCTGAGTGTAGTCCTGAGCTCTGTGGAACAGGCCAGGGTGAACTGGACCTTGGTGCTTTTACCCAGACTCCCGTCAGTCCCACTGTTGTGCATGTTTCAGCTACCAGGTCTTCCTGGAAGCAGTGATTTGAAACACAGCTCATGAGGGGGGACTGAGATTAAGAATCTCTGCATCTGGCTGCTTGCCCCAAAGGATGGGCAGGAYGGGGCCACTGGTGGCTCTCCAGCCCAGCTCAGCAGTATTGGTWTCACGGGAACCTGTCCTTACTGGGCAGGGCTGTATGGCTTGGCACCATAGTGGTGTTTGTGCTGATCACTGAGGCTCTCCTGGAACAGGGAGTGTGTGAGACAGACTCACAGAAAGGCTGTGAATGAGCCCATGGAAGAGGGTTTTATTTCTTAGGCTTACAGGGAAAGGAGAAGTTAAGGAAGACATTGTGGAGTGGGATGGTTACCTGGGCTTTTCTGCTGGCAAGAGACGTGACAGACTTCTCAGAGAAATATAGCATGTTCCTGCTGCTATTGTGAAGGGTAGGAGAGCTGCGGTCTGTCCTGCCTGGAGCAGGAGGAGCTCTCCTGACTGTAACCTTATCCAATTCACGCTCTGTAGCAGGAGTCTGTGAGATGCAATAATGGGTGTCTGTAGCCGTCTGTCCCATGCCATGAACATTGCTTGTGTCAGCTGTGCAGCAGAGGCAAGCCTGTCTCTGGGCTGTGCATTCCAGCAAGGAGCACTCATCACTACCAGACTATGCAGAGGAAGCTCTGTCTGGAAGGGAAGGAAGCTGCCGAGGCCCCTCTGCCTTCCCCTTCCAGCCGCTGAGCAGCTATATTGCACTTTTCACGTTAAGTGTCCCTGTCCCTACCCCACACTTGAAGTCACTTTGCCCCGTAGAGAACTAACAATCCTTGTTACTCAGAAAATATTGTAAAAGAAACTACAGCAGCTGGAGTAGTTCCTGCCCGCAGCAGCACACGTGCCTTTCCCCAGCATCACTCCCAACTGCTCCTTGTCTTGTAGGCTGTGCTAAGGCCTGACACTTAGCACAAGTTGCTAAGATGGCTACAAATACACATTCTGTTCAGTTTGGTCCAGGGTGTTCCACATGTAGTTTAGAAGGGTGATGGTCCAGACCCTTCCACGGCCTTCACACCATTAAGGACAGAATTGCCCCTGAGGTCCCTCTAGGCTGCTGCTGCCCACCCTGCCAACGCACCCCTGCACACTCAAGTTGTTTTTGGCTTCATGGCACCTTAGCGCCGGGGAGGGTCTGCCCAGAGAGAAAGACACGGGGAGCTGGCTGGGCTGCCCTGAGGCAGAGAGATATTTGTAGATAAGTGCTGACCCCTCACTATAACCCCAGTATATGGCTGTATTAACATGTAACCAATGCAGTGTATCTAAAGCCTTAGAACTAGTCAGGTGCTCCCCTCCAACCTTGTCCCTGTCCCTTTCCTCTTACCTGATCTTTAACAAAGCATTAATAATTCTAAGGATAATCTCTATTTTGTTGTGCTTTTTTTGTAACTGTTTTAAATAAATCAATTTGTACTGTATATTTGTACTTTGGTGAGATCCTTTTTCCTGTTTTACCATTTTAAGTCTGTACTTGGCTACAAACAGATTGTATTTTTATTGTTAATGCTTTTATGAATATCGCATTTAACTTGTGGACTCTGTAAACACAGTATATATCTATATACATATATATATMTCTCTATATAAACCAATAGCTTTTCCTTTGGTGTTTGAGACTTTTTCCTTTTCTGTAGCATCAGTGGTCATTCTCTGGATTTACAGAGTGATCTGGAGACTCATTTCAAAGGCCAGATACAGGCTGACAGACAGATTATAAAGCATAATTCTGTGTTTTCAGATACTTCTGTTTTATGCGTTTCTCTTGAACCCCTTGGAATAAAGATGTGTCAGTGACACTACAGGGAAAGTTCCAGCTGCAGGTTGCAGAGTGAAGGTACATCTCTGCTGGGCAAGCAAAACATGAGGTTGAGCAAAAGCAAATATTGCCAGATACAAACTGTGGGTTTGAGTATGAAAATGAACARGATAAAGATAAAAGTGAGATATCAAAGAACAAAGGAGGATATGAACAAAGGAACATGGAACTGAACAGCTCCTTTACAGTACCTTTTCCCTAAGTGAGAGAGGCAGGGATGGCTCCTGGGTGTCAGTTGTACATGATGTCATGTTAAAACAGCTTTTGTACTGGGAGGAAACTAGATGTTGCAGTGGCGGGWGGAGAAAACCAGCACTGAAAAGGTTCAATGCTGTCTCCTAGCAGCATCCCCAGGGCTGGCAGTGAGAGTGGTTCATTGCTTCAAGAAAAATGCAACRCAGGCATTTTGAAGGTAACTATTTTAACTAAGGCTTTAAGGGACTGCAATCAAAAGTTTTTCAAACGAAAAAGTTAGTAGGAAATGAGAATTCTAAGTAGGCTGGTCAAAAGATTTTGCGTTTTGTTTTAACTTTACTTTTCTGATCTCAAGTAGCAGTCTTGTGGTCACCATTTCTGACTTGAAGAGAAACAGCTATCAGAGAGGAGACAGTACTTCCCAAGGTGTTTGACCCACCACAGAACTCCAGACCTTAACTGGAAATGCTATGGAGGTGATAGGGGTTGTCAGGCTACGAAACACCATGTGGCACACTGGCAATTGGTGGGCTGCTGTCTAAAAACCACAAAGCTACACCATGTATTTTCAGGTACTCATTCTTAAAGAAACCAAATAATGGAGACTACCGCTTCTTTGCCCTGCCCTGAGTCCCGTGCCATTGTTTTGCCTTTTGCAGTTTAAAGATGCCTAATAATAATTAATGATTTCTATAGCTGCATAGTTTTAACAGTGACTTCTATTAGCAAGAGCAACCTTTTCCTGTGGACACAGGCCATGATCACATTTTGCCTGCAGTATTTCTGTCTTGCTCTGGCACTGGGGACTCCAGCACTGGACATAGGTCTCCAGATGTGGCCTCACCAGTGCTGAACAAAGGGAAATGCAAACCCATGAGTTTGCTAGAGTCCTAGATACAGACCTGCTCTATTATATACCATTCAATCAACTCATTCACTTGCAATGCTCTTTCACTGAAATACTGTTTAGGTGAAAATTAACTTGTGAGTAAAACAGCAAACCTGTTTGCTATTTGCTTACCTTGGCCAGCCTTTCTTTCACTGTTTTTATGGGGTATCTTACAACAGGAGCTCAGGTTCCTCTTTGTTTTTCCATGGATGCTACTGCAATTAAGCACGTAATAACAGTGTTAAAAAAAAAGGGTGTGCACACGCATTTCCAGAGAGACATCCTCCTTMGTTTCCTTTTTTATGGGCACAAACTGCAAAGGATTTACTCCTGGAAGACTTGTGGACTATCAGTCTTCAGCTCTGTAATTCATGCTGCAGTTAAACAAGATCCTTTTTTATTGAGGTGGGTTTCACCTACGACAGAACTGTAGCGACCTAGACCCATTTATGGGGCAAGGGCCCAAGAACAGGAAAAAGCACAAAAGGTAAAGGGGACCAATACATTTGAACATTAATTTATTTTCCTTCTGTCACAGTCTGTGACTTGGCCCCCAGAGAAGACCRTATCCTCAGAATGTGCTCCCACCAGAGCTACTTTGGCAGGCATCTCTCAGCTCTGKTCTCCTCCTGGGTTCAGAGGAAAGCCAGAAGCGCCTGTCAGGGAGTGGCAGGCAGGGAGCCACAGCAGCCTCCTGAGTGCAGAAGCCTGCTAATGCACATGTGGCAGGTGTAGCAAAGGCGGAACAGTTCTCGGCTGGGATTTAGTGCAATGCACTGTTGCTCTGCTCCTCAAAGGTCATTTTGCCCAGCAGCTGGCTCTCCAGCTCCACATTGCTCACTGGCAGCTGAAAAAAGTTCATCTCGGCTGCCAAAGCGGCCATGGCGGAGGGATCCTGGCCAAACTGTGCCCGGAGCATCATATCCATCTTCTCCAGGCGCCGCTTGAGCCTCTTGGCCTCGCGCTCCCTGATGAGCCGSGCCTGCCGCTTCTCGGGGGTCTCGTTGGCGCGTTTCAGGCGCATGGCTTCCCGGTCCCGCTGCAGCCGCCGYGCTCGCTGCTCATCTGTCTCCTGCATGCGCTGCAGCCGCTTGGCTTCCCGGTCCCGCATGCGCCTCACCTCGCGCTCCTCGGGGGTCTCGTTGTCCCGCCGGCTCTTCTTGGCCGTGCGCTCCCGCTCCAGGCGCTGCAGCCGCACCTCCAGCGGCTCCTTCTGCCGCCGCAGGGCCCACCTGCGCACGCCAGGGCTCTGTGCCTCCAGCAGCTTACGGTACGCAGCACAGTTGTTGCACACCAGGAGGATGCCCGCAGGATACACGGGGCTGCARAAGGCAACATCTTTGCCCTCGGTGCTGGAGGGGCCCTGGTTCTGTGGTGCTGGCAGCCGATCCACRCTGAGCACCTCTGGCAACTTGTCACTGCAAAGCAGGAGGAACCGAGTCAGAGGCTTGGTGCCGTGGGCACAGTCCCCATCTCTGAGTGCCCGTGGGCTGCCATGAACAATGCTCCCATTACAGCCCATGGCAGAGACCTCTGCTAAATCATTTACCCATAGATGTGTCAGTATCTAATAGAAAGCACTATCCTATCCAGGGTAGGAAGTGGATTAGCCCAGAGCAGTATTGGGTCAGAAGAGTGCAAGAGCAGGAATAAACCAGCAAATTGCTCCTCCCCATCATCTCTGGATTTCTCCTTTAAGCCCCATTCCACTGGTCTGGGGATAATCTCCCACTAGACAGGACACAAAGAAAGAACATTTTCATCTCTGCCTGTAGTCCTGCTCTGGACATGATGAAGCCACTGGATTGTGTAGGCTTTCTCCAATGGATTGCTGGGCAAGGGTAGAGGTGGATTGTTCTCCAGTCACTGGAGCTCACAGTGCTTTTTTGCACCCCTCTAGTTCTGCACAGTGCTAAGAAAGACCCTATTACCAGCACAGCCTGCAGACATCTTGGCAGAGATGCACAGAGCTGCAGACAGGGAAAGATCACGGGAACCTCAATCACTGGGGGTTTTTAGCACTATCCCTCAGGCCTCAGTGGGTTCAGAGCCACAACTTCGGAGTCATTCAAGGCAACCCACCTAATCTTTAACGTGATGCCCTAGCCCAGTCACTGGCCAGGGCGACCCTGACCTGTTGAAGGTGGCATGGCTGGTGAAGCGTGCTCCACACACTGCACAGTTGGACAGCTGGTCCTCTGAGTGGATCAGGAGATGTCTCCCGAGGGATCCTGGGGAGCTGAGGGCTCTGCCGCACACAGGACACAGGTAGCTCTTGGCACTCACCACCGCTCCAGTGTGCTGCAAAACAACCACTCAGGTGGTAGTTACACATTTGCACAGCTCCCTGCCCAGTCCAAGGAATGCTCAAACCATTCTGTTCAGCCTCTTGGAATGGCAATCCTTTACTGCTTAACCTCTACCTGTCAGCTTTTAGATCAAGCTCAATATAAGACATTTGGTGTGTCACAAGTCAAACAAAAAGGGAACCCTTTTACAGCTCAACTCCAATGCAGGAGAAAAAAAATTAAGGCAAATTACAGGAACTRTAATGAAGTATAAAGTAAATTAATCAGGAGGAAGGTTTCTTACCTCACTGAATGTAAAAATAGTTTCCAYGTTTAATTTGAAGGAACTGCCTGGTTTCAGCCTAAAATACTTGCAGAAACTGCCTTGGCACAGAGTTGTGTTTTCCAGACCTGTACACCCRTGCCTTGCTAATTGTTTCCCAAGGACACCCTCTGGACACGAATTACARCTATAAACTTTAGTAACATCCTAGCTAGAAGCTCAGTTCTGTGGTGGCAAAGAGTAGAATGAAGTAACCCTGTGCTTTTGAGTTGTTTCTGGTTTTGAGGCTTCAGGCCAGAGACASTGCACAGTTTGGAACTATCCCTACCTGGTACACATGTGCAATGAGTTGATCCCTGCTTCCACACTCCAGCTGGCAGAGCGGGCACTGTGAGAGTCCCAGCATGGGCTCAGCATTCAAACTCTCAGGCACCTACAGGTAGGAACAGCCACTTTGGTGTAAGGCACAGACCCCCCTGGAGCCACATCGCCCTTCCTCAGCTCCTCCCAGTGCTGCCAGCAGATCCAGAGCTGCATGCCCAGTCCTGCCAGGGCTGCTTTGGGTTCCTGACATCTGAAAGAAACCTTTCATGTAGCCTCTGAGCAAAACTCCTGCGTCTCACAGAGAAGAGACAGAGGCCTCATGGCCTCCACCTGCACCCAGCTTCTTGCCAGCACAATGGCTCTAGAAGGCAGGGCCTGTTCTGTGGCAGGGGGAAGCTGAAAGTAAATTGGAGAATGGCACCAGAAGCAAAAGAAGGAGATGCATGCTGCAAACATCTTGGCCAGTTTGTGCCTGCTGTCTCCAGATCCAGGCAGCCAAAAAACTGTTCATACCCTTTCCTCCTGCCAGGAGACATCGCTTGGAAGAGGTGGGATGGAGAGAAAGATAAAGAAACATGATGCAGAGAGAAGTGTTTAGACAGTACTCTTCTCTCTCCCTGGGGGCTATGGTGAGCACAGAGCCAGTACACACTTGCCTCATTTTCTCTCGTCAGTGGAGTTCCGGCCACAGGTCGTTCTGCATTTTCTAATTCCTTCTTCACTTTCACCATGGTGCCATCTTCCTCAGATGTATGGGAAGAAACTTCATCCTGGGTGGTTTCCTCATCATCGCTGCCACCTGAAATGCACAAAACAGTTATACCAAGTGTAAGGATCCTGAGGGCACTCACAGGCCTTAACTGTCCTGACCAACATTTCCAGGAGCCTCTACCCACCCCTCCAGCTAGGGGTTCCATTTAAACTCAGTCTAGGGCACTTGAGTCCCTCAGCTGCTCTGCAAAGTTCCTGGGCATGGCCTCTTACACTGCCTTGCTTGACAAYTGCCAGAGCATTAGGCAGAGCTGCTGCTGTGCCCACCCTGCTCTGATGAGATGGGACTGGGTCCCAYGGCATTGCCTGGGTCTGTGCTACGCTGGTCCAGTCCTTAGCTCCAGGCTTGCCTTCCCTTAGGACAAAGTCCTGCACTAGAGCAAACCCAGAGCATCCTCAGAGGACCCACACACACCGTCCAGCACTCAGCCTCATCCCTCTTCAGAGCCTCCCCAGTCTACTACCTTGCTATTATTAGAAGGGGCAGAACTCACTGCTGCTGGAGTCAGGGTCTTGCAGTGGATGAATTGTTGACCTTTGGTCCCCAAGAGGTCCAGGAAAGCTGTTTTTCATCATGGCTTGGCGGGCTTGCTCCTCCAGCCCTGCAAAGACTTGCTCCCCTGGCAGCCACAAGGACAAAGAGTCAGACTGGTGCTGTTCCATTGCTTTCACCACCAAGGCTTGCCAAAAATACAACAGGCATGGGGCTGCTCACCTGCACTGTGCAGAACCTCTGGAGTCACCTCTTGGAAAGCACTGAGGTCACTTCTTTGCTTGCCTACCCTGCCACACTAGCCTCTGGTACTTGCTGATGTAAGTCCAGTGCCCGGGTGTAGAACAGTCTCACTGGTGGCAATGTGCAGCATTGGGCTGCCCTCTGCATCCTTCTTATATGCCACTCCAGCCACAAGAAACCTGTGACCCCATATATCTGCCATAAACAGCCAGGTGGCTTTTGCTGCTGCCAAGCTATCCACCAGGATCCTACAGAACAGTTCTGGATGGGGGGATGTCCCTGGGGACTATGACAGTATCCCAGAGCAGGGATAGCACTGTATAGCTCTTCTAAATTACTRAGTCTCATTCCCTGCTATAGCAGGCATTTTACACAAAAATAGCATCTGCCTAAATACCTGGTACGTCACCTGCCCTCCACAGTGATATCAAAATTATGGGTTGTCCTTGGCATGCTCTGTCACCTTCTTCTGTACCAGGAGGGATGAGGACAAGCTGCCCTTACAGAAGGTGTCTATGCTCAGAGCTAGTGTTCTCCTGTATATAAGATGGATAGAAAACTACCTTACCCATRAATGGCTCTTGTTAAAATAAAATCTCATTGGAACTTCATGCACTCAAAACAGAAACCTAAGGGAATGAACCCAGAGAGCTGAGATGCAGGTTTAGGACAAATCGATTTGTTTTGTTGAAAACAGCAAACACTAGTACCTCAGCTCAAYAGGAGATGGCAAATACCTTGAAAAAAAGTAGGTATTTGTGCTTTGAATGAAAACTTCTCACTTCTCAATCCCTGCTCAAAGAAGTTTTGGTTCCCAAGAATAACAATAAAAGGTCATTAATTTTCATATTAAAGCACACAAATTACATTGTTCCAGGTGTAGTTGTGATTTACCTTTTCCAGTGGATGGGCCGGGAGTCCTGAGAAAGGTGCTGAAGTTCCCAGCAGGTCAGCTTATGCATTGCCTTTATCAACTGATTTGTAAGTTCTCAAGAACCATTCAAAGCACAAATGTGAACATGCCAAGGAAAACGCAGTGCATTTTTCACATAAAATCAAAACATAGCCTTCAGAAGAAAATGTTACCTTTTAGTATAGGGCCACAGCTGGCACCAGTATAACCAGGAAATTGAATTCCTGACAGAGAGCACCAGTCCTGTTACAAGGACAGGCACATTCCCACATGCTGAACTGTTCCTGCCAGCATTGCTCCACGTTTCCACTTACACTGCCTTCCTGGGGCTCATCTTGCAATTTCGGCAGGGCTTTAAAAAGACATAATCTATGGAAGATTTCAAAGACCTTCAGAAGTTTCAGGAAGATTGTGGGAGAAGAATTTAGTTTCCAATGTCCCCATGGAGGTTTCCAAAACCATTTGAAGGCTTTAATCATTCTKTTTCAGAGATGTGAGAAAGGGCTCTGTAGAGAAGAATTGGGAACACAATCCATGCATCTGAGGAGAGATGCTGAGGAGCACCAAGTCTCTTTGCCATTGAAAGCAGCAAGTATCATCATGACTGCTGTGACACCCCTTTCCAGCACTGAAAGGCTTTCATGACCTGGAGCGCTGTTTTTATGTCTGCACCACAGCCTCACATTGGTGGGACTAAGCTACAGACTGCATGAGCAGCAGACACCACAGAATTCCTGTGCCTCTCCAAGAAGCAGATACCCACAAAGCAGGATAAAAGCCCATAGACCAAAAAAGCATTGCAAGAGAAAGCATGGTGAAATGAGGAAACCTGCAGAACGCAGGACAAATGCAAAACTATGGTGAGAGATGTGCTGCTACCTTTGACTAACCAGATTCCCAYACACCACTGTAGCTGCTCACAGAAGCAACTACATGCTTGTTTTCTTCCCTCTTTTCTCTTTCAGACAGATTACACTCCCACTGAGCAGCAGGCCGGAGTCCAAAGGGAGGGCAGTTCCTGCTCAGCTACACAAACCATGCAGTCTGCTGGATTTAAGACCTGGGATCTTTATCTGAGGTGACAGAGGAGGGAACCTCTCMCATAAGGAGCACTGGCATCATTCACAGTAACTGCAAGCCATTGTGTGTGCCTGTAGCCTCTCTGTTCAACACCCTGGAGCCCACTGAGCATTGACTCAGCACAGTGCAGAGAACAATCAGCTTACAGCCAGCAATGCAAGCTGTTAATCAAACCCGTTTTGTTAGCAGGCAACATCCTGTGCATCCTCCACAGCCTGTATCTGAAAACCTCACGGGACTGGGRAAAGCAAACATATAAAAATACTATTTTCTGCTTGTACAAAATTTCTTATGTATTACAACAGTGTACAAAAGAGTGTCCTGTTCAGCTACTGATGGACTAAGTCCTACTTTGACGAAACTTTAGTTTTAATGTTTGACAGGTCCTGGGTTATACTTTTGATATTACTGCACACATGCTCACAGRCACTTACATGCCCACCTCCACCCCACTTTGGGTATGCCTCCATTCCACAGAAGGGGAGTTAGACAACAGTTTTAGAATAAYTGCCATAAGTAAAGGGTGTTATGCTCAATAGTGAATTCACAGACTCTTCTCCAGAAGTTTCTTTATTAAGTACAAAAAAGGGCTGCAGGCTGACCACAACACCAAAACAAGTCACTGTAGTCGTTCACAAACAGCTAGATACGTAGGACATGAGAGATCACACAAATGCCTCTGCTTTGTATTCCATTCTCCTCTCCATACTCCTGTGAATGAGTGGGMTGCCAAGTGAGCAGTGGTGCAGGTAGGGGATGACCCTGTGGTACTGTGCAACAGGGACAGGCATGACTGCTAGGGTCTGCTAGGGTATCAGSCCTGAGCCCCTTCCCTTCTTGAACTGTATGAATGCAGGATAAATCTCAGGTGTTCTGGAAAATAAACACAGAAACGAACAACTCCCACCCCAAAATCCACAAAACAAAATCCAAAGAAACTGCATCATTCCCCTGCCTTCCTTCCTAAATAGAAAGGTCTCTCAGAGATGAGTCAGTTTATTCCCTCCTTGTACATCAATTAAATGTCCCTGTTCATGTAGGTCTTCTCTGTGTTCCTGGACCTGAAATTTGCAAGTCTTTCCACCATTGTGGATCTATTCCACCTGCCCCATGGCTATTCTGGGTTGTCCACACTGTTGTAGTGGTTACTGAAATGAAAAACAACACAATTGAAAGGGTTAACAATGGTGGTCCACAGAGCCCTTCAGAACCAAGGGATTTGATGCAAGTAACATTTCTACTTGGTTGTGAACGCTGGGTGCTACTTCTTGCAAGATGCTTTCCCATTAAACTGGGAATATTATAGACAGCAGAATCCAAGGAACACCAAAGAGCACAGAACATGTGTGTGTTAGAGGGAGAGGGAAGGAAATAAAGCATTAGTGGGATACTGGAACCATGATAAATAGAGCTCAGAAGCAGGAATTAATCTGACTAACAAAAGCTCTTCTCCAGAGTTCTAAAAAAAGCATCAGTTGCAGCAATAGAAAGCAATAGAAAGCAATAGAAAGCAATAGAAAGCAAAGCAGCTTGTGGACAGCAGGGAGAGAAAGTGCATGCTAACACCTGCAGCAAATTTTGCTAAGCACAAAGACAGCAAGTGGTCCATGACTGATAGGGTAACAGTGCAGTAACAAATGAATGCAGAAACAGATGAAATGCTTAGAGAGTTTTCGTACTTTTATACTGCAGACTCTGGGAGAAAATAAAGACCAAATTGAATCAATTAAGGTATCTCCACAGAAACAATCTAACTGCATTTCATTTTTTAACAAGTATATTCCACTATTACTGTTGTTTGTTGGCACTGTCAGATATGCTTTTCATGGACCACATGGAAAAACAAAATTAAATTCTTAAAAGACATTTATGTGCTGCAGGGGGAAATTAAAACTGTAGGACTGGCCATCATGCACAGTAAGACTTTTGCAATACATTTTACCATTATTTTTATCATTGTTTAATCACTGTTTCAGTATTATTTTGAATTTCCTTCCACATCAACTTCTATTTGTAAGCATACAATCTCCTAGCTGGTTGCTCTGCATGTCAAACAAAGTGATTCTGTGCTAGGTGAGGACAGCAAACCATGTTGTGAGAGTAAGGTGAAACGAGGGCCATGCCAAGCCTGGAAAGTAATCCTGGAAAGAGGCACCAAGCAAGCCAGGGAGAGGAGATCTGCAGTTGTCACTTGCCCTAGTGAGTCCAAGAAAGAAGAGAACATGGAGTGGCCATGCAAGGAAGAAGTAGGCACCATCCTCCCATCAAATTTGTCCAGTCATATATTCACAGTCGTATTTATGCAAATCCAAAAGGCACTACCCCAGCCCCGTAGCCTGCCAAATCAGACCCCAGCTGCAGGCAACTGCGTAAAAAGCTGCATACCTGCTGTCCCTTTCATTCCTCTCCTCCCAACCACTGCAGTCCCTGTGAAGAAGTCCCAGTAACGTGTCTGCTATGTCTCAGCCTGACTCCTCATTCTGCTGGCTCACCCCGTTCTTGGAGCCGATGCTSTCTCCGATTATCCTCGTCAGGGCACTGCACGGCATTTCTGGGCCCTCCAGACACACAGCAGGCTAGGTAGACAGAGAAGTCCCAACGATTTCGTCGTGTTCATCATAAGACAGACAAGATTTTCCATCCCAAGGTGAAGACATCACCACTGACAAGTTTCTGGTATCTCTCGGTCCCTTTATTTTCTTGTGGTCCTATTTGCTGCTCTTGATGGCTCCTGCTGAATAGTTGCAGTGTAGCAACATACAGCATATAAAGGAGGTGAACAAGTCCCAGAATTCCTCTCCATGGCATACCCAATGCTATAACCTCATGCCCACTGGTAGCATGTTTGTCAGACAGCTTCCCCCAAAACCAAGACTGAAGATACAATCATTTGTATTACAGATGAAAAAAAGCAGTGGTGACCATGAAAACAGTGCACAGCTGAATTTTGCAATATGCAGAGCTTGGTATATGATAGTACAAGTTTCTGAAGAACATAACCCTTGCGCAGTGAAGTGCATGAGCTGAACACATGGAAACTCTACCTACACCATTAGAGCTGCTGCAACCCTTGGTTTCCATACTCAAGAGACCCTGACACTGGCCCAGGGGAGACAGCTTAAGTGTGTAACTCACACAAACCTCAGCTCACCAGCAGCAGTAATACCTGGGCACTCTCAGGAGCCAAAGTGTGTGTACACAAGGCACATTACTGGCATCAAAGGACAAAATACTGGACATACCAAATTTCTCTAAGAACAACAGCTCCGAGGTCATTAATGCACTAGCAGGCAAATCACACCTGAACTCTAGCCCCTGTGGAACCCAGCAACCAGAAGCAGTAATCCAATAGCATGGGGCAATGCAGGTGCCACAAGCCACATACCTTGAGACCCTCACTCTGGCCACCAAGGACAGCTCAGCTGGCTCTCCCAAGCTGCATAGCCAGTGGGGCTGGGAGGGCAGTTCTCCCCAGGGCACTCACTGAGTGAGCACAGTGTCAGCTCCAGCAGAGTGTTTCCCCTTGCAGAGGACAGCATGCACAGATGCCTGTTGCRTACCCGTACGTAGAGGCAGCACACAAACACACAGACATGCAAGCCAGCAGAACCAGCAGTGAGGCAGTGTTAGGGCTGCAGCACTCATCTCTCTCTCATACTTCTGACAGCTACTGCAACCAAAAATACCCAGGGCCCTCTCAGCAGCCTTGCTCTCAGAGGTCTACAGAAGTGGAAACTYGCTTTCCTAATTCCAGTTCAAATTCCAAGCATGTCTCCAGCCATAAACCTGGGTATGAACAAGGGCATAGCTTCAAGTCCCTCAACTACCCTCTGCTGCCACCAAACAAAAGCTATACATGTGCAGATTCCCCTCTGCAGCCAAACCTCCATCTGTGTCACCCAGCTCCACTGATGACTGGCTGTAGCCTGCCCACAAGAAGTGCTGATGTACAACATCTCCAGCCCTTCCACTGTCAAAACAAATGCTAAGGTCTTGGTGATGCTGCAGAAACAGAGACCCATCTTACCACTCCCGCTCAAGAATGATCTGGCAGAGAGCATTTATTTGTTCTGTAAATTACTTGGCCACCACTCATTCCTTGACGGGAAAGAGCAAATTACTTTATTTCATTATCTGGTAGGAAACTGAGGTAGTCCAAGCTTAAGTAACATGCCCAAGGCCAGTCAGCTGAGTCTGTGGTAGGATGAAGATCAAAACCCAGGACTTGCCAGCTTTCAGCCACATGCTCCAACCACCTTGCCTAGAACTTTCTTTGCTACCCAAGACAGGCCAAAGCCCCATTTTCTAGTATTCTAACTTGTACTTKTGACAGTGTGAATGCAAAGCCCAGCTACAGGCCCTGAACATATACACCTACCTTTACAATATTAGTTGTTTGTTCAAGCCTATCCCTGTCCTCCTATGCCAAGGCACAGCCAGCTTCCCTGATGCACAGGGCTCAGTTTCTCTTCTTACACACCCTAAGACAAAACATGAGTAACCACCATTCTCCATAAGCTGCCCCTTCCCATTTTCCTCCTTCCCACCTCACTCCACAATCCAGCCAGAGCAAGAGTCCCACAATGCTATGTACTATGTAACATCATACTCACAGTGAACTTTGTTAGGAGTGGTCTGTTTCCGACGGGACATGTTTCCCTGACCTGGGACCACAGAGTGTTCCTCCCCTCTGCAGAGGGCTCATCTGAGAAGAGAAGAGTCTGTCAGCCATTTCAGTGAAACCTTCTGAGTCACTGGCCAAGCTCAGCAGGCTGTCCCAGGGTCMTTCTCCACCCTTCTGCCTGAGGGGCTCATTCTGCATCACCACAGCTGGATTCTATGCCAGCATCCAACACAATCCACAAGCATGTCACAAAGCATTGTGTATGAGCATTCTACCCAATTCTCAGGCAAAGGTTTAAGCAATCCTGCCGCCCACCAAAAGATGTGTCCCCTTCAAGAATGAATGCAACCTCAGTCCCAACACCCTTCTCCCTCTCGTCCATTCCCATAGCCCAGTCATCATCCTTGTTGTTGAAGTGACAGAGGAAGGTGGCATTTCCAACAGTCCTCTCAGAGAGACAGACAAAAGCAGGAGCTGAACCCATTTTCCACAAAACACACGGACAAGGAGATTCCGCCAGCCTCCTCAGACTGGCAGACACACTGATCTCATCAGCCTTTCACTGACAGACACAGACATCCCATCAGCTTTCTTAAATGGACAAAAGGATTCCGTCAGCCTCGCACGGACTGACGGACACACGGATTCCACCAGCCTTCCCAGATGGATGGACACGGAGTTGTCATCAGCCTCCCCAGCCAGCGGGATGCAGTCGTCGGTCCCACCACATGGGAGATGGCCGGAGGAACCGGGCCCGAAAGCGGCCGCACACTGACAAAGGAATGCGGCTCTTGTGGCAGCAGGACGGACGCGGGAACCCTGCCCGAGCCCCCGAGATCCCGGCCGGGCATCCCTCACACACAGAGCGGCCCCGGCAGCGGCGGTGGCAGCACGGGGCCCGTTGCAGCCCTCGGCACTGGCAGCCCTAGCCCGGGCCGGCCTGCACTGGCCGCTCCCGCCGGGAGCCGCGGACAGACAAAGGGCAGCGGACAGACAGACGGGCAAGATGGCGGAGAGCCCCTCAGAGTGCGCGGTGGAGCGCGGCCGCGGGCACTGCAGCCACGGCTCGGCACCGCTGCCACCGACTCGTCCGCAGAGCTCAGCTGCCGATTTCTCTTTACCTGAAGTGTCTCACCTGTTTGCCATGGATCCAGCCCAGCGTGTGACTCCCGACCGCCCGCGGGAGCTCATCCGTGCCCGCGCCGGGGATCGCCTGCCCCAGCCGCCTCCACCGGCAGCTCACCGGGAGYCCTTGTGCCGGCTCCGCTCACCAGGATCTTGCGTACCCTGCGAGGCCGAAATCCACGGGTTTAGTATTAACTCAGAACCCCCCGCGCGCGTTATGAACTCACGCACCTGCTGAGAGCCGAACCGCCCCGCCCCGGGCTTTGGGGCCACCTCCCCTCACGGGCCGCGAGTGCAGCCGCCGCGGRATCTGCGGGCCCGCTCGGAACGCTCACTGGGCCCGCTTACCCGGAGACACCGTGCCTAGGCCCGGGCTGGACTTCGGTGCGACTCTCCTTCGGTGTGACGCCACAGCCGGTGGCCCCCAAAGAACCGAGGACACGCCGGCCGCACTCGCCGCCCGCGGCCAGGACACGGCACCCGGCGGAACGCTGCGCTGCCGGAACCGCCGCGCCGGGGGCGGGCCCCGGCGGGCGCCTATCGGGCGTGGTACCAAACAGCGGCGCACAGGATCCCTCCGCCGGGCCATGTAGTCCCTCTGCGCCGCTCTCCCAGACCGTGCCCGTTTCTCCCCGGCCGCCGCTGCCCCGGAGCCGCGTCTGCGGAGGCGGGCCGGGACACCGACCGGGACACCGCCCGGCACACCGCCCGCCGCGCCGGCTCGACCGTGCCCCCGGCCTGGAGCGGGAACTGCCGGCTGTGGGGATCCCTCCGCACGCAATGAAGTCCTGCGGCCGGGGCACGCCATTTTGGGCGACAGAGCCGTGCGGAGCGGCTGGCGGTGAGCGGGGAGCGCTCGGTGTGCGGGGAGCGGCTGGCGGTGAGCGGGGAGCGCTCGGTGTGCGAGCGGGGAGCGCTCGGTGTGCGAGCGGGGAGCGCTCGGTGTGCGGGGAGCGCTCGGTGTGCGGGGGGCGCTCGGTGAGCGGGGAGCGGCTGGCGGTGAGCGGGGAGCGCTCGGTGTGCGGGGAGCGCTCGGTGTGCGGGGAGCGCTCGATGAGCGGGGAGCGCTCGGTGTGCGAGCGGGGAGCGGCTGGCGGTGTGCGGGGAGCGCTCGGTGTGCGGGGGGCGCTCGGTGTGCGAGCGGGGAGCGCTCGGTGGCCGAGGGGGTGATGGGGGGCTCTGCTCCAGGGGCTCCCTCAGCCCAGGATCTGTCCCGAGGAATGCTCTGCTCCAGGGTCTCTGCCATGGCCCCGGGACCTGGAGCTCCTCTCTTGCTGTGGGATATTCCCTCTGTGCCACCTCGTTGGGGAGGGAGAGGGATTTCCCCCCTTGCCCTCGGCTGCAGCTGCGCGGGTGGAGCTCTCGCAGGGCCAGCTGCGCCCTGTCCGAGCTGTCGCTGGGCACTGGGCCGGAGCGGCTGCTGTGGCCGGCGGCCGTCCTGGCAGCCTGGTCAGGTCATGGCTGGCTACGCGCTGGCTAGTGTAGACGCTGACAGGGACAGGTGGGGAGGTGGGATGCAAACCAAGATCTTTCTGTGTGATATTTTTTAAAGAAACTTTTTTTTTCATGAACGGTGCTTGGCAAACAGAACGTTATAATTAAATACTTTTAGAGTTTGCTTTCTGTAGGGATAATACGTTGAACTAGTTCCTGGGGGACTAACCTTCCTTTCAGTAAACAGGAAGGGTGTGGGGAAAGTGGAATGGCAGCTTTTTCCTTCTGGTGACAAGATTGTTAGAACCTTAGTTTGTATAGTCCTCAATTATATAGCTGGTTTATAACTCGTATATCAGTAGGACAGAGATGGGCTTGGTTCTTCTAGCTGACTTTGCAGTACCTTCAAAAATATCCAGGAAGTTTCCTGGATAATTTCCTGAAAGTTTTTAAGGTTAACCCTGTTGGTCTTGGTTCGTGCAGGGTTGTGAAGTGGGAAAGGTAAAAATGAGGGCTCGAGGTCCAGTCACTTGTAAATAACTACATTCAGTATTGGCAGGCCAGGGCTCATTTGTTTGAGGAATTTCTTCAGTAAAACAGTGCCTGGTGTGCTGACTAGCAGTTCTTGGTTCCAGTGACCTTCTCTCTTCTCTGCAGAAAGTGTTTATCATGTTGGGCTCTGGATTCAAGGCAGAGCGCTTGCGAGTCAACCTGCGCCTTGTCATCAATCGCCTCAAACTACTAGAGAAAAAGAAGAGTGAGTACTTAAGGGGGCAGGTGGGACACAGGATGCTTTTGGCGCTCAGGAGACTTGAGGTTTTTCTCAAGTCAGGGTATTTTAATGGGCCAAGTATGGAGTAGCTTTTTGCTCTTCCTTGYAAGGTCTTAAAAACCAGTGCTGTCCTGGTGCTCAAGGACCTGGAAGAGCAGTCTGGCCTCTGTCCACTTTCCTGGCAGCTGTTGGAATGCTGTTTGTGGGGTGGTAGCTGTGGGTTGTGTGTGCTAACAGCACAATGGGGAACTCCCTGKGTGCTGTGGGAGGTGCCTTGCCCTGACATAGGTAAGGTCTGTGGTCCTGGTTAACTCTGAAGGGAGGTTGTAGGTGTAAGTGTGTTTCCAGCAGCCTAAAGTCCATTTTCCTTTTTCCCATGAGTAAGTGTGCTCACAACTGGACATGAGTCTGTTTGAGCTCTGCCAGACCATAGCTGAGTTTCTCATGCTGCAGATGTTTTCTAGGGGAGAGAAGCTGATGGTGGCTTTGAGYGGATGGGGACTGTGGGTGATCTGGAGGCAGGAGCCCAGGCCAGCACAGTGACTGGCCTTGTGGATATGTGCTGCAGCTGAGTTGGCCCAGAAGGCAAGGAAGGAGATTGCAGATTACCTGGCAGCTGGAAAAGATGAACGTGCTAGGATTCGTGTGGAGCACATCATCCGTGAAGATTACCTTGTGGAGGCCATGGAGATCCTGGAGCTGTACTGCGATCTGCTGCTTGCTCGCTTTGGCTTGATCCAGTCCATGAAGTAAGCTCTGGATGAGAGGGTCCTGCACTAAGGAAAGGGCACTGCTGGGGACAGGTCTGGGGTACAGAAGGGCACCTGCATTGTCTCAGTGTTCTCCAGAGACCTTTTCTTCCCCATGTAGGGAAGACTGTGGAGTGCATTGTGTAAAAAGGGAACTTCTAAGGGTAAACAGATGGAGGGCAGCAAAGGCTGGATGCATGGGGTGGAGAGAGAATGGTTTCCTTTGGTTCTAGGGAGTTGGACTCTGGCCTGGCAGAGGCAGTATCAACATTGATTTGGGCTGCACCACGCCTCCAGTCGGAAGTGGCCGAGTTGAAGATTGTGAGTAGGGGTGCTTGAGGGGTATTACACATTCAGGGTGGGGGTGATGCAGCCAGGTGCTGATGGAAGCCCTTGGGCTTGGTATCATTAAAACAGAGGATTCTGTGGGCTCTGCAGATAGAGAACAGGTGTCATTGGAGCATCTGAGATGGCTGCAGCTGCTGAACTGGGGTGTGCTCAGTGGGAGAAATGAGGGAGGGAGATGAGTGAGTGGATGTGTGGATTTTGGTGGGGGAAAGCAAGGGTGTGCATGTTCCTAGAGTTTCTCTTCTGCTGCAGGTTGCTGATCAGCTGTGTGCTAAGTACAGCAAGGAGTATGGGAAGCTGTGCCGGACAAACCAGATTGGRACAGTCAACGACAGGGTAATGAGCTGGTAGAACCGGTGGGGCTGGCAGAGCAGCTATGCCTGCCGAGGCTTGCTGCCCCTTAGGCCTGTGGCTAGCAGCTGATGCCTGCAGTCACCACAGAGCAGGGCAGGTGCTGTGCAGCCAGGGCCCACCTGCATTGGAGCATGGTGCTGAAGGCCCMGGCAGGGAGGCTCTGCTCTGCTGGTTGTGGATGGGGAGGGGTAGAGCACGTAGAGCCTGGCCTGTGGCTGCCTGCAGCATGCTGTCTGGGTGGAGAGGCCTCCCTAGGGGTGCCTGCTGCTCCCTGCAGCTGGCAGCCCTGGGTGGGATGATGCTGGTACAGAGCTGTGGGGTGCTGCACTGCCCTGGCCCCATTAAGTCTCTCCACTCCTGTGTTGCAGCTGATGCACAAGCTGAGTGTCGAAGCACCGCCCAAGATCCTGGTGGAGCGATACCTCATCGAAATCGCTAAGAACTACAATGTGCCATACGAGCCTGACTCAGTGGTGATGGTGAGTGAGCCTCAGGATGTGGCATTGTAGTGAACTGGGTGGTCCTTGTGCTTTGTTGTCTTCTAGACACCAGTGTAATGCAATCCTTGTTCCTTCATACAACCCTACAACATGTTGCAGTAGTTATGCATGCCACAGCCTGGTTCCTGTTCTGTTTCCCATTAATACCACTGTATGGCTGCTCCCTGTTCTGTTCTAGTTGCATATTCCCATCTTGTCCATTGACAAATGCTGCATCTAATGCTGTATAGAGGGCTGTGAGCAGAACAGAGATGTGTCGGTGAGCAGAATTCTTCTGCCCTTTCTAGGCTGAAGCTCCAGCAGGTGGAGAGGCAGATCTAATTGATGTGGGGTTCACGGATGATGTGAAGAAGGGTGGCCATGGAGGGGGCGGAGGTGGTGGATTTACAGCCCCAATGACAGGTCATGATGGGTTAGTGCCCATGCCTGTGATGATGCCTATGCCTATGCCAACAGCAAATCCACCTTTTTCCTATCCACCTCCAAAGGGACCGGTAAGTTCCTTAGCTTTGTGTATTTTTTTTCTGTGAAAGACTCCTGTTGTGGTGCTAACTGTACCTGGATAGCTCAGTGTGTCAGAAGGCCATCTTCTTGGTGTGAGACTTAATGGGATGGAGGCTGTTGGCAGTGCAGCTGAAGCTTTGTGTTGCTTCTTGACTGTGGAGGTTCCTACCCCTGTTCTCCAGCCATGCCTCTTTGCCTTCAGGGAACAGAGGACTCCAAGTTTAACTCCTGAGGCAGTCTTCCAATTGCCAGACTTTTGTCCAGGAGTTGGCACTGCRCTTTGAAGTTGGTAGGCTGGTAGTGTAGATTCAGTCAAGGAAATCAGGTGAGTTTTGTGGGTGGGAACAGCACAGAAAAATGTAGAAAAGCCCYGCCTTCAAACCTGCAAGGGAAGGAGACTGAGCTAATGGCTCTTGCAGATGGTTTGTTGTAAGGGTGAAAGGTGGAAGCTGAAAAGAACTCTGTTCTCTGAACAAAGTTACTTGCAGGATATCTGTGTAGACTGGAGAGAACAATAGTGGAGTGGCTTGGAGTCTTAATATGGTCTTGGTAGTGCTGAAGTGATTTTTGTGGAAAATCTGGGACAAGTATCATCAGCTGGTTGTTGGCCTGGGCATAAACATGCTGAGGGCTGGTGCAAGGTCTGGGTCTGCGAGGCACTGTTGTGTTATAAATGAGGGCAATTCAAAGCCTTGTGTGAGCCAGAAACCTCTGTCCTATTCTGTGATACTGAGCACAGGGCCAGAAATAGCAGAGTATTTCCTTTATTGGTGTGGTACTTCTGATGCCTTGAAAGATTAAGTATTTACTTGTGCTGGTTCTTTGGAATAACTCCCAGTCCAGGTAGCTGGGTCTGCCTGCTCCAGGTGACTACATCTGACTTAATATTTGAGACTGTCTTCCTTGTAAGCGTAAACTCTTAYCCACTTGGATACTTGCCTGCATTTATCTAAGACTGCTTCCCGTGGCTCCCATGACCGCTGTAGGCATGTGGTGTCTCGGGTCAGTAGTCTGATGCATGACTGATGTCTCTGTACAGGAGAACTTCAGTGGCCTGCCAGTTGGGACCTACCAGCCTTTCACTAACATCCACCCACCACCAATTCCAGCAAACCCACCCACATACGAGTCCGTAAGTGCCTGAACTGAATGGTCATTGCAGACAGCAGAGAGATCCTCAGAGAGTGCAGTGGTAACCACAGAAGGGAAATGTTCAGTAAGGATTCGGCTGCCAACCTTTGGAGCTTTTGGGGTGGTGCAGGCATTGCTTGCTGGTGCAAGTGAATCACTGAAAGCATGTGATGGGAGGATGACTTGTGGAGAGAAGTTCCTTTCAGCTCTGTACTTTGGCTGCAAAGGAAACCCAAGATGTCCCTTGCTGCATTGTTCAAGTGGTGATAAACAATTAACAAGCAGAGTCCACGAGTTCYGGTTTTTGCAATGTGAGGGGTTTATCACTGAGTCTGTTTAATTACGGCTTTTGAACTTAYTAATTTGCCTGGATGACAATTGTGGTTGACCCAGGTGCTGTATGGTTAAACACTCTTCCTTTCACAGTGCTTGGGAGACAACAAAGCAGTTTGTCATCATGCCACCTACTCTGGCTTTGGTGACATGCTGTTTGCTTTTGCACTATCTGAGTAGGGAGCACAGCCAAGCACCATGGGTGCTCCCTGCCCAGCAGCCTGAGACAGGGATGGGCAGGCACGGGTGCAGCAGTGCAGGTGAACTGGTGGCAATGGATGTTKCTGGCTGCAGCCTGCAGGGAGTGAGTTTCACTAGCACAGTTGAGTGTGCCACAGGCCTCTTTCCCAGACAAACCAAGACCTGGGGTGGGTCATTTCATACGCTGCTGCTAGTCACAAGAGCCTGTCGGTTTATGAAGAAAGGCAGCAAGGAGCTGTGATGATGTGGATGAAGAGGGTGGTGTTTTCCAACTGATGCCCTTGATAAATTTTTCAGACCTGGTAGTGGATATGCTCTGTAGATCCAGTTTCAGAATATGGTCAGTGAAGCTGCTCTAGTTGTCAGGGAGGGAGAGAAAAGCTGAAGAGCTGCCTGTTTCTTGGGAAGAGAGGCAAGTTGTTCCAAAGCCATGGTGGCCTCCTGGGGCTCCGGAAGCATGTGCACAGCTCTGCTGGAGCRATGCCTCTGAGCTCTGCCTGTGTGCTGGTGTGACCATGCCTGGTGGGACAGAGCTGTAATAACTGAGAGTCTTTTTCAGATCGATGAGCCTAACACTGACAAGGACGCTGCTGCATCTGTGTCTGGTGAGYACGTTTGGGTTGGGAAATGAGTATGAGGTTTGGGAAACCTTGGGTATTAGGGGCTGTTCAGAAAAACCCATTGGTACTGCCTCTTGCTGGAATGACCATTCCTTTGTGAGGCTCCGTTTGGCCCGGTGAGTGTGAGCTGATGGTGAGATACAACAATACCTCTGTTTTTATAAACAGGGCCTGAGCCCAAGCCAGAAACTTCTCCTAAACCAAGAGCTGGAGCTCCTAATACCTTCGATAACTTTGTGCTGCCTGAATTGCCATCTGTGCCAGACACACTGCCAACAGCATCTGCTGGCGCCAACTCTTCTGCCTCAGAAGACATTGACTTCGATGATCTTTCACGGAGATTTGAGGAGCTAAAGAAGAAAACATAAAACTTCCTGGGCTTYAGGAAGGAGGGGCAGGAGCTGTGACATCTCTCTGAAATGACTCCTCTTGAAATGGGTTTCCTGTAATAACCTCGGGTGAACATACTCTTTTTGAGCTCTCTTCCTTCTCTACTTACACCAAGTGCTGCTGCTTTCTGACCTTTGCTGCTCCAGGAGGTGAACTGTGGGGAATGTTGTGAGACTGGGGCAGGGAAGAGTYTCTGTCAGTCTGCGTAGCTGTATGGGGAAGCTGCGTGTGATATTCTGGGCATTGTTCCTGGCTGCCTCCGTGATGGCTCTGCTCCCAACGGAGGCTCTCTCTTGGGGAGCTTCACTAGCTTCATGGTATTCTCGGTGGCATCTGTTCCCAGTTTGCAGGAGGGGCGGCACGTTCTRCCTGGGCCTCTTGGGTGTGTGACTGGCACCGCAGAGGGCAGAGCCTGGCAGGCAGTGCGGCTGCCTCGAGGTTGAGGCAGCAGCTTTCCTCCTGGGCACTGTGCAGCTGTGGACCACCGAGCTCTGGGGACCAGGCGTGGCGGGTGCTCTGACACAACGTGCAGCAGCATCTTGTTTCCCCTTTYGGAGCCGGGGGCGAGGCATCCCGGAACTGTACCGTACCTGTCCACGATGCTGTCCAGCTGTACACCACCTGGAGCGTCCTTGTCCGTGCCCCTGCAGCCGCTTTCCCGCGGGGCTCGGGCCGTTTGTACCCGTGCTCTGTTCCAATAAAGCGCCGTTGTGGCCCGTGCTGTGCGCGATCCATGGGGACTGCGCGGGAACTGCCGGGGCCTGTGCTGCAGCGCCATTGGCTGAGCGGGGCCGCCTCCGCCAATCACACGCGGGCCTCCCGGAAGTCCCTTCAGTGTCCGGGCAAATGGCGGCGCCCCTGCGCGTGAGCGGAGCGGGGACCGCGGGGGAGCGGGGACGGTGCGGGCGGGGCCCGCTGTGGGGCTCGTTGTGGGGCCCGCTGTGGGGCTCGTTGTGGGGCCCGCTGTGGGGCCCGCTGTGGGGCCCGCTGTGGGGCTCGTTGTGGGGCTCGCTGTGGGGCTCGCTGTGGGGCTCGTTGTGGGGCTCGTTGTGGGGCTCGTTATGAGGCCCGCTGTGGGGCTCGTTGTGGGGCTCATTTTGGGGCCCGTTGTGGGGCTCGTTGTGGGGCCCGTTGTGGGGCCCGCTGTGGGGCTCGTTGTGGGGCCCGTTGTGGGGCCCGTTGTGGGGCTCATTTTGGGGCCCGTTGTGGGGCCCGTTGTGGGGCTCGTTGTGGGGCTCGTTGTGGGGCAGCTGGGTTTGGGCGGTGGCGGCTGGAGGGGACGGTGCCGGGACGGGACGGGCGGTGTGGGATCGGGGCCGGCCCGCTGGGACAGGAGGGGACGGGATGGGATCGGTGCGGGGATGGGATCGGTACCGGGCTGGGGTGGGTGAGGGTGCCGATGGGGGATCAGTGCTGGTGCGCTGCTGACAGCCCGGTGCAGGGGCGCCTGCGGGCGCTGGCGCTTGGAGGCTGCGGGCTCCTGCTGGGATCGGCGCTGGCGGCGGGCGATGAGCGGCTCTACGCGGCGGCGGTGATGCCCGCGCTCCGGGCGCTGCCCCCCGAGGCCGCACACGGGCTGGCTTTGCGCGCYGCCGCCCTCGGGCTGCTGCCTCCCGCCCGTCCCGACGGCCCCGCACTGGTGCGACTCTTGATGGGGAGGGGAAGGACGGGGGGACCGCGGGGATCGGGGCGGGCAAGGCGGTCAAGACAGAGGAATGGGGGGTGGGTCGCAGGGCCCGGCGGGGTGCGCAGGGGCTGGGTACTGTCGTAGTCTGTAGGGAGCAACGAGRGACCCTCGGGTAGGCATGCCTTAAAGCAGGAGAGTCGGCTGGGTCTGTCGGGAGCGGGGCTGGAGTGAGGCCTTGGCTGTGGCTTCTGGAGTCTGGGCTCTGACCTAGCCCCAGCCCCGCAGGAGGTGCAAGTCTTCGGGCGGCGGTTCTGCAACCCGTTGGGCTTGGCTGCTGGCTTCGACAAGCAGTGTGAGGCCGTAGACGGGCTGTACAAGATGGGCTTTGGCTTTGTGGAAGTGGGGACTGTCACACCCGAGCCCCAGGAAGGGAACTCTAAGCCCAGGGTCTTCCGGCTGACAGAAGATGAGGCGATCATCAACAGGTGGGATCTGAAGTGCTTTGCCATGTCCCAGAGTCTGCCCCCTGAGGGAGGGTGTCTGGTAGTCTGATGTCTGTGATTGGTGCAGTGGTGGCTCTTGGGTTGATGTGCTGAGCAAAACTGCCGAGACTACACCTCTGCCTTGTGGTTTTTGCATGTCCTGTTGCAGTCATAACCTAGCCTTGAACCTCCTGTGTCCTGGTGCAGGTATGGATTCAACAGCCACGGCCACGTCATGGTGGAGCGCAGGCTGCGAGCCCGCCAGGAGACGCAGATCAGGCTCACTGCGGGTGAGACAAACCTATAAGCCTTTGCTCTTGGGGTCTGCAGGGTAGATTTGAGGGTCTCCCTGGTACCTGTAGGTCAGGATTGCTGTGTAATGCTGGTATTAAGGCACAGGAGCGCCCTGGCCAGAGCAAGGTACATCAGACAGCAAGACTCTCTTGGGGTTGTTGGTTCTTACCCTTGGCATTGTGACTAGGCACCTTTCTCCTGCTGTGTTCTCTGGGATCAAGTTCCACTCGCTCCTTTGGGCGGGTTGTGTCTGTTAACATAGCCAAAGCTAAGAGGATGCCAGCTGGGCAGATCCTGAGGACAGCCTCTGCCAGCTTGAAGGTTGTGGTGCTGGGAGGTGCTGACTGGGATAACTGTGGCAAAACTCCTGTGGCTGCAGGACAGTCCCAGACCCAACCTCATGAAACACATGGGCTGCATATCCCCATCTTGACTTTAGCTGGTCCTGGGGCCTCATTTTTTGGGTGTTCTGGCCCTTGGATGGTGGTTGGTCCTGCTGCCCTGATTCAGCTGTGCCTGTGTTCCAGCTGGGATGCCTCTTGGAGTCAACCTGGGCAAGAACAAGAGCTCTAGTGATGCTGCAGCTGACTACACGGCTGGGGTCCGGACACTGGGCCCTTTGGCTGACTACCTAGTTGTGAATGTGTCCAGCCCGAACACCCCAGGCTTGCGGGACCTGCAGGGCAAGGCTGAGCTGCGGGACCTGCTGAGCAAGGTAGGTGCTTCCCTCCAGYCAGTCCAAACCACAGCTGTAGCACTGGAAGCATCCCATCCCCTGGCAACATCTCCACTGCTCCAGCCAGTGGATTTTCCCCAGCACAGAGAGGAGTGGGATGACTTCCCAGAGTGGTGGGCARGACCACTGAGATGTCCCCTGATCAACTGCTGCCATGGGGTGTACTGGAGCACTGCATCCCAACAAAGGGCTCAGGAGCAGTGAGGCATTGCTCTTCACTTTGCTCCTGCAAGAGGCAGCAAATCATCCACCCCACAAGTTCAGGCGTTGCTGGGCTCCTAGTGTGTGCTCCAGGCCCTGTGCCACAGCTCTCTCTCCTCTGGGCAGTGCCACATAGAGGCAGGGCCTGTCCCTGTACTCCCTGTGGTGGTGGGTCTGTGGCTCCTGGCTGGGGCAGGATGCAGGATGCATCTCCCTGCCATATGGACCCACAGGTGCTGGYGGAGAGGGACCTGCTGCCCTGCAAACATAAGCCAGCCGTGCTGGTGAAGATTGCCCCTGACCTCAGTGCACAGGACAAGCAGGACATCGCCAGCGTTGTCTGTGAGGTGAGGAGGCAGGAAGGGGAGGCCACCAGAGGCAGAGCCATGGTGCTCCTGGCATGTCACCTTTCTGAGGGATAGGTACACCTGCAGCTCTCTGCCTGCTRTGGGGATGGTGTCATGGGTAAGTCAGAATCTGTGAGGGCCTGTGTGTGTTACCCAGGCGTTGGGTGACCCAGACAGTCCAGGCATGGAGGGGCAGCTACTTTGTCCCCAGGCACACTTCTGGGCTGTGTGCTGGGATGTCCTGATCTGGCAGGAGGGTAAGGGAGGGCTGGGCTGCGTRTGGAAGCTGTGTCCTCACACTGCTGCCCCTGTAGCTAGGTGTGGATGGGCTGATAGTCAGCAACACTACCGTGAGCCGCCCCAGCAGTCTTCAGAGCAGGCAGCGCATGGAGCCTGGAGGCCTCAGTGGGAAGCCCCTGCGGGAGCTCTCCACACAGACCATCAGGGAGATGTACGCTCTCACCCGAGGTGATGGCACAACAGGGTTTGGGGGTGCATGCCAGCATTGCATGCACCATCCTGACCCTCTGCCTGCCCATAGGCCAGGTGCCCATCATCGGGGTGGGTGGGGTGAGCAGTGGGCAGGATGCTCTGGAGAAGATCCGTGCCGGAGCCTCGCTTGTGCAGCTGTACACAGCACTTGTGTACCACGGGCCGCCAGTGGTGGGGGCAGTGAAGCGGGAACTGGAGGAGCTGCTGAGGTGAGTGGAGGCCTGGCAGCTCCTCAGAGAGCCCCTGGGCCTCAGACTGCTCTGGACAGCTGTGTGCTCGTGCCCAAACCATGGCACTGCCAGGTACATTGAGCCGCAGAGCCAGCCCAGTCCAGCTGCACGCTGTCCATGCTTAGGGAGCAGGGCTTCAAGAACGTCATGGAGGCGGTTGGAGCAGATCACCGGKGCTGACACACTGCAGAATGAAGGTCTAGCTGGAAGGAGCCGTGGCTGAGCAGGGATGGGTCTGACGATTCCAGTGCTGGGCAGACTGAGGCTGAGACAAATTCCTGGTCCCAGCCCTGAGAAGGGTCTGATGGGTGAAGCAGGGGCTGCACTGGTGTTGAGCAAAGGTTGGGGCTTTCACAACAGTGCTGCTGTTCAGGGCTGTGTTTTGGCATCCATGTGGACAGCAAAACTGAGTGTCAATAAACATTTGGGCCACYTGGTCCTGTGTGCTGCTCTGGGGACACCTCATGGGCTGGAGGGATGCAGCCCAGCTTCTCAGCCTAGCAGGACCAGTTCTCTCAGTGTTGCTTCCACTTTTCCTGGTGGAAGAAGTCACAGGGTAGCTGAGCTCTGGGATGAACTGACGAGCATGCCAGGGTTACCCTGGCAGAGACCTCTGCCTGAGGCCAGGCCCTTGTAGGGGGGGTGGTGTGCTGCTGGTGCCCACTCATCACTTTGACACCAGAACRCAGCTGTTTGCAGATGGCTGCAGTCGTGCCCTGTCAGTTGTGGAAAGGGCCTGATCAGGGGTGCTTCCATCTGTTGGTTTTGTCTTTGGGACCTCTGAACTCACTGCAGTCCTCTTGGGCTTTTCTTGAGCAACAGCTCACGCTGCACACAGCATTCCATCAACAGCCTCTTGCACTCCACCCTGCAGAGCCGGATTGCACCACAATATTTCACCAAAGTTGTTCACTGCTGACCTTGCTCTGAGTGGCCCTTGGATTGTGTCAGGGCTGTCGCCTGCCTGCTCCCTGCTTCTGCAGTCCCCTGCACTCTTAACTTAGTGATTCTCTGCTGTGGATGGATGATACTGCTCACTCTTTTAACAGGGATGTCACCTGGTCAATTGGCCGAGGTGTTCATCTGCTTTGGAGCAGGCCTAGGAAACTTGTTCTCCCAGTCTGAGGGTGACACAGCAGCTTCCTGAAGTGCTGTCAAGGTTCACAGATTGGAGCTAAGCCCTGATGCATCCTGTGTTAGACTCCGGCCTTCTGTGYGGTGGCACCCGTAGGTGCTGGGCCAGGGTTGTCAAGCCCTGCATTGTTCATGGACAGAGATGCCCAGTGAAATGGAAAGAAGCTCACAGAGGATGGAAAAACTGCCTTCTGGGGTGTCTGGTACTGGACGTGTGTCCCTCCTGAGCCTGAGGGACCAAAATATCCAAGGGGAAGGGGGATGCTGATAAGACCCCCCAGCAGGCCAAGCTTCAGTGGCTCAGAACTGGAGCTGGACCCATGTGCTCTGAATGGTTTTGGGATGGCCTTCCTGGAGCACTGCCTTCCCTTCCCTCCTGCTGCCCCTTGGCTGTGTTCCTGCGGGAGGCAGACTGTGGGAACAGGCTGATGTGCTCTGCCTTGCACCCTTGCTGCTGCCTGGCCACATCCAGCTGGGACAGTAGCCAGTGGTTGCTGCTGTRAGTTCCACTAAGCTGAGCTTGGGCCCTCGGCACCGCTGACAACCAACCTGCACCCACGAGGCTGCAGCCCGCTACATGGGAAGAGGTGGCTACTGCTTGGAAGCCGGCTTGGCTGTGGTCCCTCAGAGCCTGTCCATGCTGTACCCTTCAGCCAGYGCAAGTATGTGATGCTGCCAGTGGCTAAGAGGGAGCAGTGCTGGGAATACTACAATGTGGGGAATGCATCCTACTGGGTGCAGCCCATCCTTAGCAATGACATCTTCTGTGTGGGCCTGAGTGAGCTGCGGGAGGACGCCTGCTCTGGGATGCAGGTGGAGCGTTTGCCGTGAAGGACCCCGGTGATGACACCCGGTATGCAGCCGGCATCCTCGGCTCCACCAACACCTGCACAGCTGAAAGTATGGCATGCATTGGACCTGAAGCGTCCTGGCCTGTGTGAAGGACACTGTAGCAGCTGACTGAGTTAGCGCCATGAGATAATAAAACTGTTGCGCACCAGGCTGCAGGCTGTGTGTGTGTCTGTCTGTCAGTGCAGGCACTGGGTGTGTGTGTCAGGAGTCTGTGTGCCCGGAGCCATACCGGCCACTCTCCCGGGGCTCAGCATTGCCTGCCCTCGCTCGCGGTCCCGGGCTCTGAGGAATTCTCGCCGCAGCTGTGCGGGGGTGTGGGGGGCTGTCCCGGTGTGTCCCGCTCTGTCCCGGTATGTCCCGGTGTGTCCGCTCTGTCCCGCTCTGTCCCGGTGTGTGTGTCCCGCTCTGTCCCGCTCTGTCCCGCTCTGTCCCCGCCCCGCGCTCCCTGACCCCGCGCGGTGTCCCCGCCGGAAGTGCCCTCACGCAGGAGCGCCGCTCATGGCGCGGGTTCGGACTCTATGGTGCCGGCTCTCCCATAGGCTCGGGCCGCTGTCTATGGTACACTTGGCTAGAGCGGCTTCCCCCGCCGGGCATTGTGGGGCGGTTATGGCCGCGCTCCGGGAGCCGGGTTACGGTCGCTGAGGGAACCGCGGCTGGGACCCACCATGGCTGCGGCGAGCGAGGAGTCGCTGCACCGGCTGTCGGGGACGAGCCCGAGCGGCGAGGCGGGCGGGCTGGTACTGCGGGAGCAGGGCGCCGAGCAGCACGTCTTCAAGGCACCGGCCCCGCGCGTCTCCCTGCTGGGGCTGGACGTGCTGGCGGCGCAGAAGCGGCGGGAGCGCCAGGAGGAGGCGGCCGGGGGAARGCGATCCCGTGTCGCCTCTTACAAGGACTGGGAAGAGGGTCGTGACGAGGCCGGCAGTGCCGAGGACGAGGAAGAGGACGAGGCCGACAGGAGCAGCCGCAGAGCTCGCAGGAACAGGTGAGGTTTGTGGAGGATTCCTGGGGCCGGCAGTGGCCGCTCCCGGCCGGGTGCWGCAGCCTCTGTGCACTGCAGAGCGTAGTGTGAGCACAGTCGGTGACATGCGGGGCCGGCGGTGTGAGCGGGGAGGCGGGGCAGGACTGCGGGGCACCGTGGCAGAGGCTGCAGCAGGAGCTCTGCCGSACCAGCCGAAGGGCTGCTGTTGCTCAGCACTTCTCATTGTTTTTTCTGTCTGTTCTGCCTGCCTAGACATTACCGCTCCGTGCACGTAGAGACGCCTTCCTACACAGGGGGTGTCAGCGAGGAGTTCTGGGAACGCAGCCGGCAGCGGGAGAGAGAGCGTCGGGAACATGGAGTCTTTGCCTCCTCCAAGGATGAGAAGGAACGGAAGAAGGATCGCAGTAGGGATCGSGACCACGATCGTAAACGAGATCGTGGTAATTGCTCAGAGACCTTTGTGGTGCTTCCTGCTTTGGGTCTGGGCTTGTCGTTAGCCTGTTTGTTAATAAGTCCTTATTAGTTTTGTGGTGATTTCTGCAGCAGACTTGGGAAGCCTCTTTGTGCAATAGACACCTGCTTCTGTTTTCTTCTTGCAGAGGAGCGGGACAGGAGTCATCACAGCAGGTCAGAGAGGGACGGGTCGTCAGAACGGAGTGGCCGGAGGACTGAACCGGAGAGCCCCCGACATCGGCCCAAAGGTGGGAATGGGACCTGGTACAGCTCTTGAGTGAGACCTGAGAGGGAGGGGCTTAGAGTTTTTTATGCTTTCTGCTGTTTTCGTGGGACAGGGGTAGTGGAAAGTGGTGGTGGAAAAGCTTGTGCCTTGTAATGTTTGCGGTTAAGCCAAGCATAAAATTCCCAGCTCAGCTTGGGTCTGGGAGCAGTGTGCCAGCTCTGCGCATTTGGAAATCCGGCAGATCTCTGCACTGGCATCCGTTCTGGGTCTGGCTGATGGAAATGTGATTCTTCAGAAATTGCTTGGAATCACTGGGTCAGCCCCTTCTCTTACTTAGCAGGAGGGCAAGTGGGTACTCTCTTTTAAATGCTCCTTGCTTAGAACGTGTTAGGTGGCTCCAGTTGTCCAGGGCCACTTTTTGAACATGAGGTGTCAAACCCCATGTTTTCTGCCAGATGCAGCCACACCATCTCGCTCCAGCTGGGAGGAAGATGATGGTGGCTACAGCAGTGCCCGTCGCTCACAGTGGGAATCTCCGTCACCTACACCTTCCTATCGAGACTCGGAGCGTAGCCACCGACCATCATCACTGCGGGACACAGACCGGCGGGAGCGGGACAGGTACTAGTAAGGCTTTGCTGTAAGCTGTGGAACTGCAGGAAGGGGATGGTGGGCATATGAGAAATGCCTGGCTGAGTTCCTCCCTCCTACTGTTTTTCCAGGTCTGTGAGGAGCCGGTACTCTGATAAGACGCCATTGCCCACCCCATCGTACAAGTACAACGAATGGGCTGATGACCGTCGGCACCTGGGGGCCACGCCACGCCTGTCCCGAGGGAGAGGTGAGGAACCTGGGCTGACCTACCCAGGGTGGGCAGTGTGGAATCCCCTTTCCCGTGGCACAGAGTCAGCTCCTCAGGGTTTTCTTGGGAGCATTCTGGAACATCTGGCTCACCCCAGGGCGACGCATGGACGGGGAGGAGGGCATCGCCTTTGAGACAGAGGAGGAGCGGCAGCAGTGGGAGGATGACCAGCGGGTGAGAGTCTGGGGCGGSCCAGGGGCTCAGGGCCACTGCGCTGTGGGGAATGGGCAGAGCTCAGTGCTGCACTTCTCCTTTCCCAGCAAGCTGACCGGGACTGGTACATGATGGACGAGGGCTATGATGAGTTTCACAACCCTTTGGCTTACTCCTCTGAGGAGTATGTAAAGAAGCGTGAGCAGCACTTGCACAAGCAGAGGCAGAAGCGGATCTCGGCACAGCGGCGTCAGATCAATGAGGTAGGGCCAAGATGCAATGTTGGCTGCTCTGAACACRGGGGGTTTGCTGCCCCATGAGAGATCCACTCGTTGAGCCCTTGCTCACAGGTGGAGAAGGACTCTTGGTCCTGGGCTAGGCTGAAGGAGTGCACACAGGGAAATTGTGGTTGAGTTCCCCTGGAAAATGCAGCGCTGCACCTCCTGCGTGGGCGGCGTTCCCACTTGGAGTGGCTGGTGACTGCAGTGTCGCGGGCAGCAGGAGTGCACAGGACCATGCTCCTCCTGTTCTGAGTGCAAGGTGCATTGCTGGGCTTGTCCACTGTTAGCCCAGTGGATGCTGGGAGCAGCTGCCCTCATCACRTGAGCAGGACAATGCCCAGGTTTCCTGATGTATTCTGAGTGCCTTGCAGGCAATGTCTAGCCTGCATTTCCTTGAAGATAGCGCTGTTGACCTTGTGTTTTACATGGSCAGTCTGTTTCCTGTACCCCACTGCTTCCAGTTACTGTTTCTTCCCTTGCGCTAACTTTTAGTCTCA